TACAATATCTAATTAATAATATTTTAATATTTTACATTTATTTGCAGATATTTCACATGTGCGACGAGGAGGGCAATCGAATACCACATTTGTGCGCCAATGAGACAAGCTTTAATCAGGAATACAGAATATGTGATTGGGACTACAATTTCAATTGCACAGAATCGCCGGTTAGTTCTAGACTCTTAAGCAATCATAAAACCGAAGATATTTATAAAATTGATTCATTTCAGAAATGGTTCTATCTGAACGAGTTGACATATGCGACAGATCCGCCAGATGAAGACGATGAGGACTATTGAATGCAATTAATTAAATATTTATTGTCTTTGAGAAAGAGCAAAACACTAATTAAATTAAATGGATCTAGCAAGAAGAAGAAGAAGAATAGGAAGGAATGGATTGACGCAATGGAAAAGAATATGTTTCCATATGAATAAACATGTTAACTAATTTAAGAGATTTGTTGACAATTTTGTTGAGTTACGTTTTGTGTACAATTGTATGTAGTCTAATTTGAAGAATCGAGCTTGGGGCCATCGAGCGCCGAGCATCGTGTAAATAATGTAAATAGAAGGCCGTCAACTATCAGCAATGCGAAGGTCGTCAATAAATAGTTTACAAATAATGTAATTGTTTGTAAGTTGAATAAACAAAATAGAAAAAAAAAGAAAAAAAAAAGCAAATAATAAATGAAGCTCAAATTGCGTCCATGAAATGTAAAATATATAAAATACTCGCAAATCAAATAATTGTATATTCCTTTTTACCAATTTACGTCGATTTGACAAAATGTTTTGCACTTATAACAAAATGTCAAAATTACTTTATACCTAGTATAGTTTTTGCTTTTGGTTTTGTTTTTGTTTTTCGCTGTGGGAGTCACCGTCAGGCGACTTTTAATGGGTAAACAACCCCGATGAGTCAAGTTCAATGACGAAACAACAAAGGTATTGAAATGGTAAGAGTGTTTTGGCCAATACTGACAGGGATAATACACTTTAAAGTATTTGATTTTTCTTACGATTAATTAAGATTTTTATAAGTTATGATCAACAATATGTAAATAAGCTTCAAGCATCGAGATCATAGTAATCATCTTGATCGATCCTTGGCAGAATCACGTCTAAGCTCTAATTGTAGAGGGAAGAATTGAGCTATAAGAATCTGAAAATTGTATTGGGAATGGAAACAAATATAGGTATGAATAATGTAATGGAGAGAAGGCCAAATGAATATTGACTGAATTCAAATATGTATATATGAGTATATTTTAAACGGAATCTTAAAATGTTTTTAAAGTCAGAGAGACGGATGAACATTTTAAAAATTTTGCGAAACAGAGGATCATAAATTTTCTAAAAGGTCAGATACCCTCTCTACACTTTTCACTTAAAGTTCAGAGCATAAAAATACTCCGATTTTATAATAAAAAAGGGAAAATTAGAAAACATTCTGTAAAAAAACAACACAGCCCTCTGAAGGCGTCAGCGCGTGAAATTACAGCTTCCCGGTTCATGACTTATAAAATGCCATTGAGCACCCTACAGCAGAGTTAGTCTGAAAACTGAACTAAAACAAGCAAGAACCAATTGGATAATATTATATAGTACTGAAACTTATATCATTATTAAATAACAGAAATATAAAATGGCTCATAGACTCAGTTGCCTGCTAATCCTAGCTCTGTTTGCCGTAAGTCTTAATGTTTACTTAATTTAATAAATTATTTCAAATACATGTTCTTTTTCTGCTTTGTAGTTCGCTGCAGCTCAGTACTATACGCCCTACAATCCCTATAATACGCCCAGCCCTACGTTCTCTAGTCTGAATGGGTATTACTATTCGACGGCATCGCCCTATTATTATAACACACCGAACACCTATTTCAACGATGTTAGCATACGCATTTGGCCCTATGTTATTGGCCAATACCTGTATCCTACTTACTACAACAACAACATCTACAATCCCTATGCCACGCTGAATACGCCCAATTGGCAGACATACTATGCGAGTGCGTTTCGAAGTAACTACGGGAAAAAGTAATTCGTGTGAATTTCAATGAATTAATTATAGTTTGTTGCTCGTTGTGAAATTAGAAATTTATGTTTAAATGTTGGTATATTATTTAATAAAGTTTAGGTTTAACGGAAAAACAACTGAAACTAACTGAAACAACTAAAGTGCGGCGAAAAAAGAGAAGGGCAGTGCTAAGTGAGAGTGAGATGGTTATTCAGGCCATGCGGAAAGGATCGTTAGATAAAGCTTTATAGGGAAGATAAGAGAAAAAATAATATCTTTATTATAGGGAAGGAAATGCTATTCTGAAAGAGAAAGTAATCGTGTAGAGCAACAGCTAACCGGGAAGTCGGGAATTGGGCGCTATTAAAATTTAACAATTAGAATGGAATGTAACCAAACTGGAAAAGTTCCACCATATACATAAAAGTGTATCCCATAATTCTACTTTTCATCATTTTACTAATTCTCGATTGTGAAACAAAAACTAGTCATATCAAAAAAATATACACATATTATGAGACGATTTTCAAGTTTCCAAGCGACTCTCTATAACGCACATTGCACAAAATCAATATACTCTCTTGCCCATTCCACAAACGAGTATCGAACTATCTTCAACTTAAGTAACCTTTCGAAAAACCAATTTACCAACAGTTAGAAGTAAAACGTCCAAATGCTAATGATATAATCATTAGTGATGTAATTTTGATAACAACATGTGACATGGGCGCAAAGACCGTTAGGAAATCATGTTCCGCGTTGAGCCCAGTGTGGCATTTTTGACGGCTCTTTAGACACATTTCAGAGCATACGAAAGCAAAACAAACAATTCCATGCAAGCAAATCGCTGTCTGAGTTGCAGAGCAGAGACCGCGTGCTACGTGGAGTCGTTGACACCGCGACTTCTGCTACAGCGCTGGCCATGACATTAGGTCTGGCAGTGCGCCGCGCTGCGATTACCACATGTGCCTAACGGATTTCACACTCGCCTGTCAGTTGGGTACCATTATGTAATGGCTAATAGGCAAGCTAAACAAATTGTTTGAACGAGCACTGAACTTGACATCCAGGTACGTCTGCACTTCGACTTGAACGTTATCTAGAAAAAGGTGCTCATCGTTAGTTTCTTGACTTTTAACCCACATTTGGGGTTGACATGATTCTTGGGCAAAATCGATATGAAAGTTCGAGTTAACCGTAAGCTATTGTCTGTCAATAGGCATAATGTGCCAGAAATCAAAAATCAAAATTTAAAAATTCTTTACATCACAGGAGCTGCACTCGCATAAATAACATTTGCTTATCAACAACCGCTACTATGCGCACTTTTATCATGCAAAGCAGTTGCTGTGAGCAAAGCCAGGTGAATGGGTCGCAATGGCAAGCCACAAGAGACGGAGAGATGCAGAGAAACTGAAAAACAGAGAGCGGGAGAGAGAGAGAGAGAGAATTAGCGAGCGACAGAGCGAGTGAGAGACTGATTGGTTTAGTGGAGAAATGGGTCAAAACAGTCACAAAAGAGCGGGTAAAAGGCAGCCGGCAAACATGAGTTAGGGTTACATACAAAACAAGAAATGCTCAAATGAAAATGTTCAGCCAGACGAACCATTGATGCTCTTAAAACTATTGGCACCTTTATTGGTTAGAATAAAGAAATGAGCAAAGTATGATAAAAGACGAGGCAAAGATGAMGATTTTGTTTTGTTTTGAATAGATAAATGTTATTAATATTCATTCATGGAAGAAATTGTCTTGCTTTGGATAATCCTCAAAGTATTTGCATCACTTTCTGTTCTTGCTTTTGATGTATAAGTTGACATGTAAATAGCTGGTAGTCTTAACAGCTAGTTTTTTATAGCCTTTTAACTATTGTTTTAACTTATTTTGTATAGCTTTAATTATAATTGGTTTGGGAGCAGATTTTTGTTAGAAACAGTAGGTCTGTCAAGTTGATTTTTATGGTTTTTAAATCGCTCTTATAGGTCACCTTGCTAGCTATCAGGAAGTCAGCAACAGCTCTTTGCAAGTTCAGCTATCAAATTCTACTCAATAAACATAACAAAAGAAATTTCACGCGTAGCTTTTCCTTATCATCAAAATCAAAGAATATATATTATAACTTTTATTCATAAAGAGGTTAAGATAATAAATATTATAATAAGGGTAGTATGAAAATTTGAAGAGCTTAACAGAAAAATAATGTCTGTTTAATGAAAAACAAAGTATTCAAAATACATAAATCAAAATTAATAATAAAATCGAAAATTTGATACATTTTTTGTAAAGATTAACAAAAACTTTCTAAAGGTTTTTAAAATGTATTTAAAACCATAAAAAGTTGTATAAAATTTCCTTCTATATAATTTATAATAAAAGAATCAATAGTAATACTAATACATAGAAATATTAGCTGACTAAGAAAAATGATATATAGCATAATAAAATATTATGATATTATTGCTCAATAATTCATCTAGCATAGTAAAACTTTTATGAGTTGTAAAATCAAACAAAGAACGATAGTTGTTATGCCTCAAGAAGTAAGAAAATGTTTATGCCACATGTGTCAAAGTAAATACGTGCAACGTGAAAGCTTTAGCATTGGCAGGGCAAATGGTTGAGTTGTAGCCGGGTGGCTCAGTGGTTGGGTGGGTCAAAGACGACTCGTGGTGCGTCGATCCCAGCCAGCCATGAGACTGTGACGTCAGCGCCTTGTTTGTTGTCACGTTCGCAAAACACTTTTATGCTCTAGCCCCTTGCACGATTATTCGTAATAGAGTCAACAAAGAGGCGAGCGGGAGCTGTGCAGAGGCAGATGCCAGGGGAGCCGTAGAGACAGCACTGAGTCGGCATTTTTGGTGCGATCGTCTGCTGYTGCTGCTGTTGCTGCTGCTACTGCCATTTAGGGGAAAATTGTGAAGAAAGTGTTGAAAACGAAATTGTGGCTGAGAGCGCGAGAGTCACAAAAGCAAACACGTTGAAGAAGCGCGTATCACAGAGACTGGTCTGTGTGAGAGACAAAAATTTTGCTTGGTCCAACTGCACGTCGAGCTGGGGTGTCCAGACTTTACCTGCTGGCCAAGACCATGGCCAACTGCCAGTCAACGGGCACAACTCAAGCGCTGCAGTCGCGTCAAGAAGCTAACCAAACAAGTTAAACACAAAACTAAATTCATTCGATACGATTTGGATTCGCATCTGCTGATCAGGCCAAAAACAATTTGCGTGGCGTGTGTGTTGTCTGCCGTAGAATTGTTTTAGTTATTGTTGTTATTGCCGCTACTGCCACAGCTGAGGTTGCTGTGCTGTTTAGTTGCGTGAAAGTCGTTGGAGCATTGAAGCCGTTGCAGTTAGTTAATTTGCAGACGAGAAGAGTTCAATGTAATAATTAAGGACTCGTACGATATATAACAAACAACACAGACAATTAACAAGTGAAACCACATTACTCGGCCAGCTGCTAGACTAAAGCCATAATCATGCTGGTAAGTAAATAAAAAACTAGATTCAAGTGCTCTAGATGTGTGTGATAGAACAGAATTTAATTTTAGCTTGAGTTTGTGTTGAAAATAGCAGAGATTTGCAAGTGATATACATACTATATAATATTAGAAATATCCACGAAGTGGGACATAGATAGATGCTACATGTTCTTAGCTGCGTCTGAGAAACTAATATAAATCAACTCATCTGAGTTGAGTTGATGGAGATGCAAGAGGAAGAGTAGTTGAGATATTTGTAATACATTTGATGCCTGCATGTGATTTATAGGAATTTTTATTAATATGTGTTGTATTAGAAATTTGAGCTTAGCATTCAGATGTCTGTGGGCTTATTTTAATATGGAGAAATTTTGCAGGGGATTTGGAAATATTTTAAACCTTTCCGAGAAGCAGCTAGAGAGTAAGCTTTAAATTTTATGCAGCTGTTGCCGACAATGTAACCAACGTTCCAACGTTGACAGAGTAATTGCTAAGCCACTTCAAATTCCTGGTTATCATAGCTGGGCTATTTATCTCTTATATTAGCGAATAAAGATTTATAGTTTTGCCTATATAGCTGGAGAAGAAACCTATTATTGAATTTTTGCCAGCTTGTGACATTTGCGATAATGACAAAAATATTCCAAAAGAAGTTTAAGTTCGTCAGAGTTATTTGTAATGCCCAAGTTAATATATATTAATAACTTTGCCTACACAGCTAGAGTCTAAAACTAATTAGCCCGCTACATCAGACCCACTGCCCAAGTGTACAGGGTACAGGGTGCTCAAATCAGCTTTAAATCATAGCTCACTCCCAATTCACATGCTTGGCACGCGTTCTGTGACCGTTTTACCTCAATTCTCCAATTGTTACTGCTCACAGGAATTGACATTGACAAAAGAGCCAACGATTGTGACCATTTGCACAATGCATTAAACATTTCTTATTGACAATTGACCAAAATAAATCACTTTGGCTAACAATTCTGGCCGTGTTTACAATGTATACACATATCTTATTGTTGCCAAAAAAATGAACAAACCCAAAAAAACGGTAACAAGCGACAACTTTCTATTGAAGCCAGCTTAGTTGAACTCTGTTTGTTTGTCGGCTGCTCTATTATTAAATGCTTTTAAAGTGTTTTCCGTTTGCTGGCAACTCGATTTTTGTGTCATGAACTGTGACTTTAACGACCGCATTACATACGACTCGTACAACCATTAGATAATGCGCACTTGTAGCAATGATTAAATTTATGCATCTGTCCACGTGCCTAAATTGCATCAGCAGCAGCATCCGTGTTTTTTTTGAAGATGTTTTTGTTGCTGAGTTTATAGTTTTTTTTTTTTTTTTTATCTTTTCTTTATTGTTTTATGACCACTTGCTTGATGGAAGGTAAAACTTTATGAGACATTTATCGGTTGAACCATAAAATTTGATTGAAGCATAAATACATGTAGTAAAGCGTAGCCTACGCATATATGTGCCAGAGGAAAGTTTAGGGCGTCAAATTCAATGAAGCTTACAACAAAGAAAAGCCAAGCCCAAAAAAATATGGGGGAAAAAAACCAAACAAACCAACTAACAAACAAGTAAGAAGACTCTAGTCGAGACTGCTCGACTAGGAGATACCCTGAACCCTCTAAGCAGATATTCTAATCATTCTGCACTTCTTTTATGCACACATACATACAGATGCATCCACACGCACGCATAAGCCTGCGCTCTGCTAACTGCGCAGTAAGCAGCGACTGCGCTTGGGCTGCGCTGCAGTGTGGGCAATATTATGAGAATTTATTTGTCGAATAATTTCTTTTGTAAACATATGATCTTAATGAAACTTTCAGAGTGTAATCATATGGTAAATNCACGAGTATGCATGCCAAATTTCAGCTCTCTAGCTCTTATAACTTCTGAGATCGACGCACTCATACGGACGGACGGACGGACGGACGGACGGACGGACGGACGGACGGACGGACGGACGGACAGACGGACAGGGCTATATCGACTCAGCTCGTCACGCTGATCAAGAATATATATACTTTGTGGGGTCTGCCACGCCTCCTTCTGCCCGTTACATACTTTTTCACAAAACCATTATACCCTGATTTCCCATTTTCAATGGGTTCAGGGTATAAAAAAACAACGTAATTTTTAATGAATTTAATTCGTATGATTAAGACTTCATTAGCTCAATTTTAATGCTGTTATTCTGCATTGACAATGGATGATTCATGGAATTTTTCAGAAAATGCCTATGGCCGAATTCATTTATAACAATTAAGTCTGGATATAGTTCGCATAGTTCATATAGTTGTTTAAACTAAGGCACATATATGCTGCATTGATGAGTTCTACTTAACAATTGAGTGCCTTTCAGCCTACAGCACTTTCCATTTTAACAAAGTAATTTGCGCATTCGAACGTGCTAAATTTTAAATAAATAATAAACAAAAAATAAATAACAAACAAAACTCGACATAAACGGCAAGTGTTTAACAACAATTCGAAGAAAGGCGAAATTTTACTTAGTATAAATATCTTTTTTATAAGTCACCTTAAAAGTTTTCTCTCGAATGACGGAATCTTTTAGGGCAGATGTAAATTAAATTATGCGTGCAGCTATAAATTTGACTGCAGTTTGACGAACAAGAAGCAGAAACGGAAACAAAGTGAAACTAAGCTGGAAAAACTATCTCAAGTCAAACGCATCAATCTGGTTGTAAAATACATTATGTAAATCAACTTACATTTTTATATATTTTCATCAGTCGTCAATACATTTATATTCAAATAAAACACAAATTGTAATACTAATAGGCTTTCCTTTTAAATTTCCCATTGTCTCAAAATGATGCGAATGCAGTTGCATTTACTTTACTGCCAACATCAAAGAGTATATATTTTCGGTAACATTTAATGAATGCCAAAATATTTTCGTTTTACAGTTACAAAGAAGAAGGCGATAGAATTTGGCCCAAAAACTTGACCGCGAAAAAATCAAGTCAAAGCCAAACAAAAGAAGCAACAAATTGATATACAATACTTTAAATAAGTTTTATTGTATAACATTAAAAGGGGACCACAAATTATGTCAAGTCAGCAACGGCTTCCACCTGGCATGCGAATTCGACTTTTTAATTAAATTGTCTCATTCAGATTTGATAAATTCTCCCAGTTCAAGTGGCATTTTTTTTAGCTGCCATCCAGGCCAACCGTTAGTTCCACATAATTTTGCCTAGAACTTTTGTGATGTTAAAGCCAACGCATAAAAATTCTTTTTGTTTATTTTTTATATTTTTGGCCACGCTCCAGGGAAATTTTGTTGAGCACATTTAGAAATCAGAAAACAAATTTACTATTTGTCTGCCCATATAATTGGGTTCTGAAAATGGAAAGCGGCTTGTACTTTCAGTTCTTTTGGGAAAAAACTAGGAAATGAAACAATTAATTAGGGGTTAGCTCAGGGCCACTCCAGGGGCCACGCCAGCTATGCCTAAGAGGCCCTATTTGGATATCTCTTTTTGAGCTTTTAGTTCTTATCATTCAATCAGTTGTTGTTCGCTTGGAATTTCACTTTTGCACTTTTGCCTTAAGACATTTGGAAATGTGTTAAACACAAAACCAAAAAAAAAAAATATATATATATATATAACGTAATGCTTAGAGATTTATGTGTCAGGTTTTTGCCATCATTTACATACTGCAAATTTTTAAATGCAAATTCGTAGCAAAATCAACAGCAACTAAAACTCTCATAAAACAAAGTGTGTTGACACGAATTTGGAATTTGAAAAATAAAACTAGTTGTTACAAGAGCCAACATTACATAAAGGGCGCTGTCCGTTCGTAAACGACGGCCAAATGGGAATTGCTGTTAGTTAAATATGTTATATGGATCATAAAATATTTTATGATCGCGTTAAATATGACTGTGAAAGAAGATTTAAGTCATAGGGCTTCGGCTTGAGTGCATTCTGACAAGCATTTCACACAGCACTGTCTCTATTACAATGTCAGCTGTGGACTGTTATGAGAGGCAAGTTCGCTGCCTAAGTCTTTCGTTTACGCAATTTCCGCAAGAGTGCGTATGATGAAATGCGCTTGATGTCATTGCTGAACAATGCAGTCACACACACACAAACACACACACGGACACACACACACACACGCACACACATAATCTGATAATTTTCTCTAAAACACTTTGTACTTTCAGTTTCTCACAAAGAGTTCAAGTGCGCGACGCTCATTGCTGGCTCTGCTGCTGGCTGTATGCTTTCTGAGCTGTGCTTTGGGCGCCAAAATAGTCAAAAAAGTTGAAAAGGCGCCGTCAAATGCCAATGACAATGAAGACAAAGCCGATACAGCAGCGGCAGCAGCAGCGGCAGCAGCTGAAAAGCCAGCGAATAGCAGCGATGACGATGATGAGGAGACTGAAGACGAGGATGCCGATGAGGATGATAATGAAGATGAGCCTGAGGCTGAGGAAGAAGAAGAGAATGAGGAAGAGCAATCAGCAGATAAGGAAGCTGCAGTAGCAGCGACCTCGACCACAGACCAGAATCAGTTGAAGCCCGCTGCCGATCCCACAGATCTCAGTGTCTGGGGCATGGTGCGCACACTTTGGAACTGGCTGCGCAGCGATCTCAGTGAAAGTCTGTTCGGCGACGACGACGAYGGCGACAACAATAAGAAAGAGAAGCCAGCTGTCGTAGGTGAGTAATATGCAGCAGCGACTGCAACTGCTCCAAATCAGTACCGTTCCTCAATTAGTGATTCGTTGATTGAATTTACGCAACATCCACTGATAGCGTCTGATTAGCGGCTTCTCTAGTTCCCACTTTCGTTTTCAATGAAACCTGACTAGAAACAACGCAGAGTTATAAAAAGCCCCGACAAAAAGCTAAAGGTGCTCAAAAGGTGTTAACAACAATTTATTTATTTTTTTTTCTTCATTTAATTTCTGTAAGAGTTTGCGCGGGCTCCGAGATTTTGTTTTGTGAAATGCTCTTTCTCTCATCGCGAAGACCTTGTTGTAATTTCACTTTCAGCATGTGCTTCTTCTAGACTCCCGTAAATTATTATATATAAACATTTTGTTGTTGTTAAGCGTACACGCATCTTTAAGTGCTGAGAAAATATTTATGTTTTTTATTTATTTTCGGCGTTTTGGTTGCCTTCTTTTTATAGACTTTCGCATTGCTAAGCGTTCAGCTCTGTTTGTTGTTCCAATTATTGCAATTAACGATAAAATAAAAAGCCAGACTTAATTTGGCAGCGATGGCAATTCAATGGGCATTATTAGTGGTCAGACCTTCAGGTTGCTCAGCAAAAAACAAAAGACTTAGACAACGAACTTGACAAGTGTATTTCGATTTTTACAAATTTGAGTAATTTTACCACTAATTTCTTAATTTTACAGAGGGCCGTACCTTTGGCAAGATTCGACGTCTACAAATGGCTATGATACCCATCATCTTTAAGTTTGGCGTGCTCTCAGCTATGGTTGCATTCCTGGTCGCCATTGGCATGAAATCGTTGTTCCTCCTGAAGGTTTTGATTGTGATGAACGCGCTCGCCATACTGGGCAAGTTCCTAACGCTGAAGACGAGTCTGTTCGGTCAGTACGAGAATTCAGCGCCCAGCTTCAGTTACCCCGGCTGGAATCCGCATGCCAAGGAATCGTGGACGCCCACTGGCTTTAGCGGCAGCCCACCGTCGGGATCACATCCGCCCAGCAAGGAGATTCACTTGCACATCCACGGCAATGCCCCGGTACAGGCGCAGTCACCCAGCCAGAGCTACACCTATGAGTCGCAAGGCGGCTGGGCCAGTCGCTCCGATCCCTATGGCGCCTATCAGCCCACCGGACAATATACAAGTGACGTCCCCAACAATACGGATCCCATGTCCCTGTTGCCCACAAAGTACCCGGCGCGAAATTTGATTCGGTGAGCGAGTATCGAACTCGCGGCTAAATGACCACCGAATACATTTTTAGTCAGCAACTTTGCGGGGCGCAGCTTTACATAATTAGTTGATAGATGAACTAGTGAAAAAGTTGCTTAGATTAGGACGAGTTAAATTAAATTAAATTATTTTCGCTTAAACTTGCTGTAAATAGGCTTAAGTTACGTGCTGCTAACATATTTATTAAACCATTATAATTAATAAACAAACAAAAAATATATTAAATACTCAAAGTATTTTCATTTCTGGGCAGTTGAAATAATTAGGTACATCGCCTGACAGCTTCGACGATTGTGATTGATGTGTGAAGAAAGTCAGCTCCCGAATCGAGGCTTCACAGCGGCGCTTCGACGGCGAGGCATGTGATTAATTGGCCATTTGACAAGCTGCCAGCACAGCGATTTCTTTGGGACCTAACCCAACAATGGGCGTGCGCTGACTTCACGTTTTGCTGCCTAATCATCGGCATTATCGCCAAAAACATTGAAATATAAGTCAAAGTCATGGCACTCTGTACCTACATATATGCAGACACACATTTCTGTTTACAGTAGCCCCGAAGGGAAAGACCGAAAAAAAGACGTTTCCAATTTTGGGTAATGATCAGCATTCGCGGCAATCATTTATTTTTTTTACGGGAAAGAGATATGTGCGGGTGGCTGAAAGTTGTTTATGTTTACGTTCACAATACTGTAATTTAAATGAACATAGAAATGTTCTGACCTTATTTAAAATGTTAAAAAAATGAATAAATTATGTAGAATATTTTTTAAATTAAATTATATTTTATGTAAAAAAATAAAAATTTTC